AGAGCGACTGTTGAAATGAAGTGTATCGAAACCAGTTTTATTTAAGAAAGGACTTGTGTCGCGAAAGTTTCGTCGGAACGAATTTACGGAAAATTAACTAACGAACGGAGACGTAACAAATTGGTGTCAGAGAGTGGGACAAGAAAAAAAAATGGAAACGAGAAGTGGCAAATCAAACTACAGCTTAGCAGATTTGATGGCAGCAATACAAGAACGGCAAAAGAAACAAGAAGAACGAGAAGAGAAACAAGAAGAGAAATTACAGCAGTTCTTGGAGGAAAAAGAAAAGAAACAAGAAGAAAAATTACAGAAGTGGCAAGAAAGCCTACAACAATGGCAGCTCGAACAGCAAAATAAACAAGAGAGACTACTGCAGTGGTTGGAGGAGAAAGAAAAGAAACAAGAAGAGAGACTACAGCAGTGGTTGGAGGAGAAAGAAAATAAACAAGAAGAGAAGTTACAGCAGTTGTTAGAAGAGAAAGAAAATAAACATGAAGAGAATTTACAGCAGTTGTTGGAGGAAAAAGAAAAGAAACAAGAAGAGAGACTACAGCAGCGGCAACTGGAACAAGAAAGGAAACAAGAAGTACAAACGGAAAACATTAGTAAAGTTAAAAGCGAATTAGATACATTAAAGGATGATCGTTTGTCTTTTACACAAGGAGGATACATCAACCATCGACTTAATCAGCCCAGACAATGGCAAGCCCCTTCCAGACCCCGCAGCTAAACCCTAATGCAGACATCTTCAGTCCTGTTAGAAGTCACATCCCAGATATGAATGTCAGTAATAGGAATGATTCAGTAAGAAGGAAGCCACAGGAATACGATGGGAAAGCACCGTGGGAAGCATATAGAACACAATTTGAGCTACTGGCAGAAATGAATGGATGGACAAAGGAGCAGAAAGCAGTATATCTGGCAACGAGCTTGAAGGGACAACCTCTGGAAATACTTGGACAGTTGTCAACAGATGATAGGCACAACTATAGAGCACTGGTGTCGGCTCTAGAACACAGGTACAAAACCCAAAATCAGGCAGAAGTCT